TTTTTTTTTTTTTTTTGAATGAAAGCATGAAGAAAAACCCCAACCAGTTGCCTTCAAGTCAGTTCCCATTCATGGCAACCCCGTCTGTGATAGAGTAGAACTGTGCTCCAGAGCATTTCCAGTATCTGATTTTTTAGAAGTAGATTGTCAGGGCTTTCTTCCAAGGCACCACTGGGTGGACTTGAACTTCCAGCTTTTTGATTAGCAGCCAAGCACAGTAACTGCTTATGCCACATGGGGACTCTTGTTCCACTGTAAACAAAACCACACTCACTGCTGTCTGGTCAATTCCAACTCATAGTGACCTCCATTGGGTTTCCAGGGCTGTAAATCTTTACAAAGCGGACTGCCCCATCTTTCTTCCATGGAGCAGCTGGTGGGTTTGAACCACTAACCTTTTGATTAGCAGCTAAATGCCTTAACCTCTAGACCACCAGAGCTCCTTCTGTTCCACTATAAGCCCCTTCATTTTAACCAACTAATTTCTGCTAAGATCTAAGTTACCTTAACCCAGTTTAAGAAGATTTGCACACTATGGTGAAGCTGGAACATGGCCCAGCCTCACACTGGAGGCTCCTTCCTCTCTAAGGTTGCTTCTCAACTCTCTTTCCTTATCACTTTCCTCTTCCCACTTCCCTAAACATAGTACCCCAGGTCAGTGCTCAGTGGAGAAAATAAATGAAGACTTGGCCAACTCTCGTACTCCATTAATCCCCTAAGTGAATAGATACGCTCCCATGAGTTGACCTTTACTACTCATGACTTCATTGTTGCTTCCCTCTTGCCCACTATGCCAATAGCCTTGGCCTTTGGATGTGTATGGCTGCCTCAGTGTTGGACTTCTGCATTTTCTTTATCTAATAAAACGTTTCCTGTTGCATTTTGGACACTGCTATAGGCCTAGAGCTCTACATCACAGAAGGAGCAAAGCCAGGATTCATTTATCAAGTTGAGGCCTTTGATCCAGAAGACACAAGCCGAAACATACCCCTCAGTGTAAGTCTCCTTGTTAAACTGAAGAGGTGCTTGCGTGGGTTGGCTTTCACATGGGAGCCTGGCACCCTTGTGTGTCTCAGCAGGGTGTGCCTGAACAGTGGAAATGGGGGAAATATGCTGTCTACTTCCCAAACATAGAGTATAAAGTATGGCTGGAATGGGTAAAGAGCTTTGGAGATGGACATCCCAGATTGGATCCGTAGCTCTGTGTGATCTCAGACAAGTTCTAATGTCTCTGATCTTCAGTTTCTTAATCTGTAAAATGGGAATAATAATGGCACTTACGACAATAGAGGGATTATGAGTATAAAATAGATAATGCATGTAAAACCACTTAGCACAGTGCCCGGCATATCAAAACTGCTCAATATTTTGTTGACTGAAGCTAATAAAAATCCACCTACATTTATTTTAACACAAGTATAAATATATACCCCAAAGAAAGACATTAACATGATAGAACCAGAAAAAGTCACTGCCATTAAGTTGATTCCTACTCATAGTGACCCTATCGTAGAATAGAACTGCCCCATAGGATTTCCAACACTATAAATCTTTACAGAAACAGACTGCTACAACTTTCTCCCACAGAGCTAATGGTGGATTCAAACCACCAACCTCTGGTTCCAGCCAAGTTCTTTAACCACCAGAGCTCCTACCTAACACAATAGAAGACCTATCTATCTAGTTGTTCTAGTTCAAGGTTGTTCTAGTTCAAGGATTCAGGTTCAGTGAAAATTTGCCAAAGGCATGGATGGCAAGGACCAAATCCTCTTCAAGAATTGAAGAAAAGCTGCTTAGAGCCAAGTTAAAAACAGAAAAAAAGTCCCAGGAATGGCAGGACATTGAGAAGTAACTAGTCCCAGACAGTTGCCTCTTGGTTTGGTCTGAGATAGCTGCTCTTGCTTCTCTCCCTTTTTCATCAGTTTCATTAATGGAGTTACAGAGGAGCTCCTGTCACCA